GAGTTTTCAGTTCAAAGTGTGTCACTGCCTTGTGTTAACTGCTACATCCTATGAGAATGAAAATCCTTTAGGCCCTCTAGCTGCTAACCAAATTTACAGTCACATTCTCACAGAGTCATGGGCTGTATCCAATGCCGCTATTCTACTAGTGCAGCAGACTCATGCAATGGAACTTCCCCCTCTTCTCCTATTCCTTGTGGCCCCTGACATGAAAAGTTTACAGCATCCTCTGGAGCAGATTTTGAGGGCACACAGGGAGAGGAGAGGAAGTGGAATTGGAAGTCCAGTTGCATAGGTGGACCTCTGCGTACACATGTTCTTTTAGGCTCCATGTTATTTAAAATCTTCTACTTTCCCCATGATACACCGTTCTGTCCCTCAACTCCATTCTTCCCCCTCTAACAGACAATCAGAATTCTGGGGCCTCTGAACATGTTTTTCTTTTTCTTTTTTTTAGGGTTCAACTCAAATAATTTTTGGTACTTCTGCAAACCCTGGGATCCCCCAGGGCATGCTGATACCCCCTTTTATTTATAAGTAGCATTGGTTGAGTACAATCCTGTTGGCTGGCACACAACATTTTGGAAGCAGAAGGAGTGTACAATATTAAGAATTGTCTGCCTCATTCTTATTTCACCCTGGAAGTAAGCAGAAATAAAATTCTGCTTCTTCCCCTATGCAAAATCAATGTTAGCAGCTCCAAGTGCTCTTTAGCCACCCTCTGTGGTTACCTCACAGAAAGAAGGAGTGTCTTATTTATGTCACCACAGAGTGGCACGCTCTCGATTCACAGAAAATGGGTTACTGAGCCACTGTATGTTAGTTCAATTTCCTTTGAATGCTATGCTTAAATGTAAATTGTATCTTTTTGTAGACTGCTTTGAGGTTGTTAGTTTTTTCTTCTAAAATCAAGTGGTATATAAAGTGTCATCTAGTCCAACCCCCTGCTGTGCAGGAATCACAACTGAAGCACATATGACAGGTGGCCATTCAATCTCTGCTTAAAAGCTTTCAAGGAAGGAGAGTCTACCACCTACTGAGGGAGTCCATCCACTGCTAAACAGCTCTTACTGTCAGAAAGCTCTTCCTGGTGTAAAGCCAGAATTTCCTTACGTATATTGTAAATGTGCTGCAGTGTCCAGAAGGAATTTGTAGTTGCCTGTTATTAGCAAATGGTAGAAGAGGCATGTTATGTGACAACTATTATGGAATGGGTACATAAGCACTAGTCTGTGGATTATTTACAAATGTCCCCCCCCCAAACTTCTCCTTTGCAGGCTGAGTTTCTGAAGAGGGAGAATTATGGAGGAGCCATGGTTTGGACTCTGGGGATGGATGACTTCTCTGGCAAATTCTGTGGCCAAGGAGCCAATGTCCTTGTGAATAAGCTTAAGGGTCTCCTAGGAAACTGAGGTAATGACAAATTAGGCTATAAGGCACATGTTTCATTAAGCTACCAATCTAACGTCCAGTGAAGTTTGAATTAGGCATACTAATTTCAACCCTTATTTTCTAACCTCTCTTTTTAGATTTGAATGTTTGGAATAGTCTCAAGGGGATTCATGTGATAAACCCTGCAATATGAAAGCATTTTAAATATCACACACACACACACACACACACACACAGAGAGAGAGAGAGAGAGAGAGAGAGAGAGAGTGTATATGGTCTCTCAGCTGTAGTCTTCTAAGTGGCTCACAACATGAATACAAGCCACACAACAAATAAAGTTGCTAAAACTGAAATTAAATTGAGACAAGAAGAGAAACCCACTTTGAAAGGGCAGCAAAAGATCAAATAGAAAGTTAAGCAAAGCTTGTGCATTGCCTACTTACCTGGAAGTAAAGGCCACTAAACTCAATGGGACTTCAGTTACTCTCCATGTGGCCCCAAACTATATGCACCCCATGGATGCTATTTAGTAAACAACAACCAAGCATGCAAAGGCCTATGGAATGCACAGTGTCATGCCTGAGTTGGTCTAGAGTCTGAGGAAGTGTTGCAATACAGGGTTAAATGTTTCAGAGTTGTTTTTGCTCTGCTTTGCTCTTGATAAATAGGAAATCTTGCAAATATCTGATATGCTTCTGACATGCATTTGTTCTCCTATAACAGAACATGAAGTATCACACCAAGGAAATAGAGGAATGCAATGTGTTGTGCAACAAAGATGGATCCATGTTATGTCTCTCACCTCCTTGAACCTTTGCAAGCAAAAAGATTCTTCAACATATTCGCTGCCTATTAGCATGTGATTATGCAGACTTGAGCAACCTGTTGTGGAATCTTCCATTACAAACTTTGAGTCTGCTGCGTGTCTCGTTTTTCTTCCTTTACTGTTAATCAGATTTTGAATATCATGAGATGTATGCAGAATTGGAATGCACATGCTCTTTTTAGGCAACCTTGATTTTCTATTTCACTATGCAATCTAATAAAAAACATATATTGCATTTACTTGTACTTTAAATCATTTTAAATTGTGGCACAATGGTGATGACAATTAAGACATTTCTTTCAGGCATCTGATATTTATAACTTAAAAGAAAAGCTGACCAACATAACTAGGTGCCTCTCCCTTAGCTACTTGTCTCTACCTGTCTTTAAAAGAGAAAGTTTATAAAAATCAAAGACACAGGGAGCTTCACCTAATTCTAGTTTCCAGGAAGGTGTTTGTTGCTTAGTGAGTACCTGAGTCTTGCTGTCAAGGTCTAAAAGAGGATCAGATGGCTTTTTGCTCAGTTAAAAGGCAGAGACAGCAGTGCTTAAAAGAGGAGAGATTATTATTTAACCAACCTGAAATGTAAGAAATTGTATTTATTTTGAGAAAAAAATCTAATCATCACTCCCTCTTTTTTTTTTAATGAACCCCAAAGTGTATAACTCTACTCCCTGCAAGAAAGATCAAGGACTGCTATGGGAGCCAGAAATTCAACTAAATTCTGCTGCCCTTCTGATTGGCTAAGAGACAGAAAGTTAGAATAGTGTTATGACTTTGCAAGACACTAATCTAGACGAAAAATGGGAACACTTCCCCTTGAGGTTTGAGATCGTTACTTAGAAGACAATGTCAGAGTTTTTGTTAGGAGGAAGTTTTAGGATTTAAGTTGGCTGTGGGGTGATCAAGGGAAAAAAGTGTCAGTCTGTTAAATGCAGCAAGTTGGAAACGGGGGGTGGGGGGTGGCAGGGCAGAACTCAAGTTGAGCTGCCTGTTTTGAATAAGAAATTGTAGCCATGGGAAAGACAGGACCCCCTTGGAGTGTAATGCTTTGAACCCCTGCATTGTAGGCTCAGGTTGTATATATGTGTGAATAAGCCATACATCATAAAGACACCACAGTCTTCACTGTGCCTCATTTCCAAAGAAAACCCTGGGTAAGCATCTGGAACCCCTGGAATCTTGCACCACTGGGAAATAGGGGTGGTGTGTAACAATAGTGTCTATAAGTGAAGCTGGGGAGCAGGAGGAGGAAGAAAGACATGGAAACTAGAAGAAAAAGCTGGAATAGAGAGTGCTGCAGAAGATCTGGACTTCAGGGACAAGTTGTTGGACAATAAGCCCTATCATCACTGACTTTTGGCTATGCTGGTTGGGGTTCATGGAGTGCAACAACATCTAAAGGGTTACAGATTCTCCATTCCTGATTTAGCTTATGTTCTGTTTCCAACAATGGTCAGATTCAACTGGAGGCTCGCAAGCAGGACCTGAAGGCTTAGTAAATCATCCCCATAGTTCTTAGAGGACAAGAAGTTCTGTGCAAGTTCATTTTAGCTTTCACAGCTCCGCTCTGTCAGTTTGACTACATTGATTATTGTTGTTTAGAGGCTTCTCAAAGTCTCATTTCCAGCATCATCAGCAATGGTTTTAGATTGCAGTAGCAAAACTAGAGGAAACTCCTAGCTATGTTGCTGTTATTCAGCTCCACTTTGAGTTAAGGCTCCCACTTCTCTGCTATATTACGTTCCCCTATTTTCAACATGAAGTTCAAGACCAGCATTAGTAAAGAGTCTTATCTTGCACTGATATAGTGCCATGGAGGTGTGCCTTGCAGAAACAGCCTTGGGGATTTAGAGATAATCTCAAAGTGACTTTTTGTGGGGGGCTGAAGGCCAGTTGCATAAATTTTTGGCATGGTGTATGGCTGCAAGTCACAAACTAATGTTCACTTAGAGTTTTTTGTTTTTTAATGATAACCGCTTGTTGGGCATGAAGAATGGCAAATTGTGCAGGAATACTTTGGCCCCACTTGGACACAAATATCATTGCTTATTTATCTAACATCTGCATGTTGAGCAGTGTGCCTTGCATGCTATAAATAGTTGTCTAGAAAGGCTACTAGAGTCTCTTCACATATGATTACTCAACACTTGAGCAAGTTCAGACTAGGAATGGACAAATCCGTCCATTCTGGTTTTTTTTTAGTTTTCTGATCTTAAGCTCGCTTTCCACATTTCTGCATTGGGTTGCAGGGTTATTTTCTTTAAAAATTTCTCCTGAAAATATCATGTTAATGTTATGTTTTAATGCTGGGACCTTAGAGTGAAGAGTGGGTGGTTGTTTTTGTTGTTGTTGTCCTTTGCCTACACACTCAGAGGCTGACAACACTAGGATTTGTTTTCAGCTTAACCACATATGTAATTGAGTTGTAAGATTTCTACAATTCAAAATTAAGTGAATAATTGAACATTCATTAAAATCATTGGGACATTTGCTGTCAACATCAGGGCTTTGCTGACATTCAAATCTGTCAAAAATCAGAAAAAGATAGGCCTTTGTGGTTCTCTTCATACACACAATGTAATTTTTCATAAAGTCAACACTTTTTCCATCCTTGAAGTTAGATCTGTTTTCTGTCCCGGGATTTATTCTTCAGCCACCTGTGCACTTTAGCTGCCAGATGTATGCTCCTTTAGCAGGTGTGTGGCTCCCATACTGATAAGTGAGCAGTTTATAAGGCTGTGTTGGATTTCCCTGATGGGCCATTTCCTCTGAAAAACAGATGGGGAAGATGCTGCTGTGGGCAAGTGAGTGGTCCAGTGTGTAATTTTACATCTTGAGAAACATAAAGAGACATTTCTTTCTAGAAACAAGGGAGGTGAACTTTGAGCTTAGACTTGGGAATGAGAACACCATCAGGCTTGCTTATGAGACAAATAACCCTGGAAACGAGGTGTTTAGCAAACTGAGTCAGATGGTTTTATGCATACTGTAATGATGTTTTTGTTTTAAATCTTTTGTAGGTCTGGCCATTTTGCTGCACTTGCAGCTTGGTAAGCAGAATTATTTATTGCTCATAAATTTATTCCTCAAAAATGGATGGAATATCTGAGACAAATTGAGGGTGGGGGAGATGCTGTCAGGTTTGATATTGCCATTTTCATTTCTGCCCCCTCCTCATCTGGGAGCTTGCAATACTAAGGGTGTGATTATGAGTAGCAGCAACCAGCACAAAGGAATGTAACATTAAGAATGAGAGACTGTATCTTTGCATTATATAAATCCACAGATTTCTGTAAAGGAAATATATGGTCCCTCATTCTGGGGGTGATAGGAGTTGTAGTTGAAAACATTTGGAGAACGCCAGCAAAGGCTTGGCTAGAGACTATAACTTTCTAATTGAGCATTGTGCATGTATCTTAATCACAATGAGTTTCCTAAATCAAGAGGTAAGCGCACAGGGCCAGACTGAACTAAATTGTTGCACGAACAGAATGAGATCTGCTTGTGCAATGGGACTTTGCTCTGGAAGGCTGAAGGAAAACCTAGAACAGGTTTAAGAGGTGGGAGGAGAGGGGCAAAATTCCTTTTGCGTGAGCTGACCTCATTCCATTAACACATAAAGTATGCTGGTTTTAGAGTCAGTTGCTTTGATTTCTATGTTGTTCTTGCCTATGACATTCACATCACAATGTTCTTTCTTACCTCAGGATCTTCCTACAAGCTGGTCTGTTATTTCACAAACTGGTCCCAGTACAGGCCTGATCCTGCCAGATATAAACCAGCAAATGTGGACCCCTGCCTGTGCACACATGTCATCTATGCCTTTGCTACTATGAGCAATAACAAGATCGCCCCCTATGAATGGAATGATGACGTCCTCTATCCACAGTTCAATGGTCTAAAAGAATAGTTAGTAAATTCTTTAAGCACTTAGTAATTACTAAGAATGAACACAGATTGGTTAATCTCAAAATAATAAGGCTTGTTTGGACCTGATCTGATTTTCTAAGCCCCCTAGTTGTAAATGTTTGATTCATTTAAAAACAAAACAAAACTGGAAAGTTAATATTAGCTGCTGCAGAGCTGCAAAGTACTCTCTATTCTCTGTTCACTAGGGCCAATGGCCAGAAGAGAGAAGGGCAGACAAGTCAGTTCTGGGCACTGCTACAACAGCCCAGAGTCTCCCTAGTGCTAAAGAATCTATCCTGTGCTATTGTCTAATATAGGGATCTCAGATCTGCAGGAGTCTTAGTCCAGGCAACTCATCACTGTTGAAACCCGCTTTAAAAAAGGTAAAGGTAAAGGACCCCGGACAGTTAAGTCCAGTCGCGGATGACTCTGGGGTTGCGACACTCATCTCGCTTTACTGGCCGAGGGAGCCGACGTTTGTCTGCAGACAGTTTTTCTGGGTCATGTGGCCAGCATGACTAAGCCACTTCTGGCGAAATCAGAACAGTGCACAGAAACGCCGTTTACCTTTCCACTGGAGTGGTACCTATTTATCCTGGGTACCTATTTATCTACTTGCACTTGACATGCTTCCCCTCAAAAATATGAGACTGACTTATACTGTGTCAGAGCATTAGTTCTGTTGTCACACTGATTGGCAGCTGCTGTCAGGCAGAGGACTCTTCCTCATCCTGAGATCCTTCCATTGGAATGGCCTCTGGCTGATTATTATTATTATTTTGCATACAATACATGCTCTCTACTCACTGAACTGACTGTTTTATGCCTTTTGCCTGCCAGTTCCTTCTTGTATCTGTGTCCCAGAACATGCCACCTCTCCAGGACTCAGGGAAAACTTAACTTGACATTAAGCACATTATTTAGTATAGGAGAGTCCCAACCAGAGAGTCTCAAGGGAGATCCTAGCATGGGCAGAGAAGCTGTCACAACATTAACAATCTGGAAATGCTGTGGGGACAATGGCTTGATGTACCTGTCTGCATGGCTATTATTTGCACTGGGAGGTAATCTCTCAGTAGTACCAGTGACAGCCTTCCTCCCAGGGCAGAAATAGGGGTTGTGGGGAGGCTGCTGCTCGATATCAATGGATCAAAGTCCCTCCCCATGATTCTGTGGCCCCAACCCAGATCACTCCTCATGGCTATTTAGTAAAAAAAAAAAAAAAAAAGAACAAGCACATAGTCCTATGATCAACACAGTATCTAGTTTGGTCCTCAGACCATGCTTAATGGCAGTTCACGAAACAATAAACAATGATGGGAAAAGCAACAATTGCATATTATAAATTTATTTCCTAATTTTTCCAATCCCTTCCTTAGCAATGAGAAAATGGTTACCCTTTTGGCGATTGGAGGATGGAATTTTGGCACCCAGAAGTGAGAACTTTTCTTTCACATGTATAATGAACAAGATGGGGAGGGGGGGGATAGTTTGTGGCTACTGCTGCTGGCCTGCTGAGGAAGAGGCAATGGATGGATAAAAGGGATGTGGAGGATTTTCAGGAACCTCTGGTGGATAGAAAGATAAGACCACTGTGGAGATAAAGGAGGAGAGTTGGGGGGTTATGAAGAGTCAGAGGGAAGTATGGGATAAACAAGTACAGTAGAAACATTTTGTGGGGAAGGAAGTGGTAAGAGAAGCTGAAACAAGCTAGCATTGCTTAATTTTGTGGTTCACATAATGTATATCCTCATACTTTCAGTAACTTAAAAACAAATCCGGTTTTGTTAGGTTCACCACAATGGTTGCTACAGCTGCTAACCGCAAGACTTTCATCGATTCAGTGATTACGTACCTTCGTCAGTATGGGTTTGATGGGATTGATTTGGACTTTGAATACCCGGGTTCTCGGGGCAGCCCTGCTGAGGATAAGCATCGTTTCACTATTTTAGTCCAGGTGAGGAAGCTTTGCCCAGCATCCTGTGAACATTGTGCCTCACTCTCCTTGCATAAACAAATGTAATATGTGAATGAGTCGATTATTTTGTAAATAATGGCAGCACTTCCTCAGATCCTGAAATCACAAAGCAGATGCTGATTGATATGGTTGCTTGGTCACACATTACCTTTTCTCATGTGATGGGAGTTATCCTCAGCCAGGATGGCTCTCATCAACAACAGACACGCTTGTCCAAATAAAGCACTAATTCCAACTAAATGTTGCTAGAAATGAGGTGTCACTGCCAATTACACAATCACATAATAGAATATCCTTTCCTAGGAAAAGGAATATATTTCACTCCTCTTCCAGGTTTATAAGAATGTTAAAATAATTTGAAATGTCTTCATATTTAGCTGTTTAAATGACAATCAGCTGATTGTACTACTTAATTAGATAAAGACGCAATCTCAGAAATGACTGAGCTTTCTAAATTCCTCCTTATATGTACATAATGGCACTTTGGTTCATATACCAAAGAAGTGGAATTTCTTCATATTAAAATAATAAAAGATGTTGTTGCATACCACCAATTTTTGAAACCTTGCACACAATGAATTAGCTAGAACTGAATGCAGCTGTTAACTTTACTCACCCATGCCCTTCTCAAGGAAATGCTGGCTGCTTTCTCAAGTGAAGCCACCAGGAGTGGGCAACCCAGACTGTTGATCACAGCAGCTGTATCTGCTGGCAAAGCAACCATTGATGCCGGATATGAAATTGCAGAGATAGGAAAGTAAGTGACAATGTGCTAAATTGGGGACTTGTGAAAATAGGACAAAGCAAGGCAAAATTCATTATTCATTTGGAGGGAATTATTTATTATATTAAGGAAAAGGTGCATACAGAGAAATATATACATGTCAACAATATGAGATAATATATTTGTGCAGTCTTGCCAAAGATTTAAACTTGGTTGTTTGACATCCAGGAATTTAGATGTAGCATTTTGAAATCTTTCTGAGTGACCACTAAAGGTCTAGTTCAATATAAGTGGCTGCAATACCCACTTGCCTGGGAGTAAGTCCTGTTTAACTTTATTAAGTTTACAGAGAGATATGCATAGGATTGCAATGCTGGACCCATATGACACTAAGCTTTAGCTTTCTAGTCAATGTCCTCTTTAGCTTGTTCTGTGATAAAAATGAACAGTGTAGTCACCTTGAACTTCATTTGTTGGAAAGGTTGGATGCGAATTTAACAACTGGACAAATATCCTTGCAGAAAAGGGGAGCGGGAGCTGAGGATCATATAGCTAACTGTTTAGAAAACTACAAGTCAGATGTACACCATATTGTTCAAATGCATACAGTTTTTGTATGGTTTCATGCAATCTTAAAAAGCTAATGTGAAAGAGAACAGGGTTCAGCCCACCAGTATCAAGAGGATCTTTATTTCAGCGTATGGATCCATTAGGCAAGTTGTTATTGCTCTGCTTTTTTTTTTGATTCGCACAAGGGTTCTAGATTTCATCAGTGTGATGACCTACGATTTCCACGGAGGATGGGACACCTTCACAGGTCACAATAGCCCCCTGCATGTGGGATCTGCAGATAAAGGCGATTTTGTGTACTTCAACTGCGTAAGGAAATGCTAACAAAACTATTGTTTGCTCAGAGCCGGTACAAAAATGGTCAGTTCATACCTATATTTATTATGTTCATATTGAAAGGAATTTGCCATGAAATACTGGCTAGAAAATGGGGTTCCTGCTCAGAAGCTTATGATGGGGTTTCCTACTTACGGCCGTACCTTTAGGCTTACCACAGCTGACACATCGGTTGGCGCTCCCGCGTCTGGTGCCGGATCCATTGGACCTTACACAAGGGAAGCTGGTTTCTGGGCTCATTATGAGGTAAATGAAACATTTAAAAAGGACCAAAGTTTAAAAGCATGCAGTGCTTAAAAATCTCTAAGCAAAGTGCATTTTGTCACTCAGCAGTTATAATCCTGTTCTACAGTACTAATGTCTTGCTGTTCACCCATCCAGGTTGCTTATAATCAAGATTACATAGAATTGTGTTTTTTAATTCCATCACATCCATTTTCATCCTCTTTAACAGGTTTCTTAATATGTTCTGATATTTTTTCTTGAACTTCAAAAACTGCTGTGGACTTCGCGTATGGGAAATCAGTTTTTCCCATAGACTAGAAAAGGTTTCCAGTCCTGCTAAAAATATTCTAAATTGGTCTCTCTCATCAGTGCCATCGGTTTTGCCATCTCTGTGCAATCCATGATTTTCACCAGCTGTTCTTCCTTTGAGGGCATTCTTTCCTCCTTCCACTTCTGTGCATAAAGATTCCTTGTCACTATGGGTACATACATAAATACAATTGAAGCTTTCTTTGGAATTTCAATGTCCAGTATCCCCAGCAGGAAGGCTTCTGACCTCTTGGGAAAAGTAACTTAAAAAAATAATCATTATTTATCAGGTGCATGGATTTTCCTCTTTGGTATAATTACAGGAAATGCTGCTAGGAATATTACATTAGCCACAGAAGTGCACCTCAAAGGATAGAATATATTTCACTGATAAAACACCAAGTGCCTGTACCAGCCCAAGGGATCTTTGTAACTCTACAGATAAGACTGGTAAACAGTTTAATTCAGACAGATGAGTCAGCCTGATTGAGATTTGTATATACAGTTGTTTGCTGCTGTTTGCTAACATGAATGTTCCTTGACAGATTTGTACGTTCTTACCAGAAGCAACAACCGTCTGGATCAAAGATCAGAAAGTCCCTTATGCCTTCCTGGGGAATGAGTGGGTTGGGTTTGATGATTTAACCAGCTACAAGTACAAGGTATGTTATTATTTTTCTAGTGCATGTAACAGATTGATCTGTACCCACACTCAAAGTACCTTGCAAGATTTACCAGTGCAATGTTCGAGCTTTATAACAATGCTTGGTGCATATGTGTGTGTGTGTATATATGTATTACCGACACTGATCTTGGGATATTTTTTTGCGAGTCAGCTGCTGGCGTCATTGAATCAACTTTAAGTTAACATTTACTTTTAGGAATGTAGTCAAGCCCTTAGATGCATTGAGCTCATCCAGTGTTTGTCTTTCCCAAACCCCATGAGTCTAAAGAACAGCACCCCAACAATTCATGTCATGTTAGTGCGTACAACTGACATCAAATGTGGTGGGAATATCTTGTACTTGCTTTCTGCGCAGGTTGAATTTTTGAAAGCAAACAACTTTGGAGGAGCAATGGTTTGGGCCATTGACCTTGATGATTTCCTAGGCACTTTCTGCAATACGGGGCCATATCCTCTGATATCACATTTGAAGACACTCCTTGACATACAAACTCCAGGTAGGTCAATTTATTGAGAAGAATTCTGCACTAAGACGTGTATATGCATGTGCGCACATGCGCAGAGCGCCATGCTGCAATTTGGAGGTGCAAGGAAACAAGTAGCCAATGATAAACAAATTATGTGATGTGCAAAGAGACTTCCCAATATGTTTTAGCAAAAGGGGGGCAATTTAATGCACACCCACTCCCTTTTGAAACCTCTGTGGGGATGTTCCCTCTGACTGGCTTTGCTCTTTAGTAAAACTGCAATGTATTAAACAACTTCTCTCAAGTGTCTTCTCTGATTATATTCTTCCCCCTTAGGTTGTGTAGCTCCACCACCTCCAACAGTCCCACCTCCTCTTATTTTCTGTGAAGATAAAGCTGATGGTATCTATGCCAATCCGGATGACAAATCAAAATTCTATGAATGCTCTGGGGGCAATACTGTTTCCAAGAGTTGCGGAGAAAGTCTGGTGTTCGATGAGAGCTGCAAGTGTTGTAACTGGCCTTGAGCCTGTGCCTACCAACAGTCACTAAATAAAGAGATGGAATGGCATGCAAGTCTTCTCAATGAATGTATAAACCAAGTGGGCAGTTCCTAATGATAAGAAAAAATAGATGGGAGCAAAATGAACAGAGGAAATAAGTGACAAATGGACCTTAACAGGTGATGGGAAACATTTTCCAAAGTGCTGGAGTCCATTGTGGTTAAACACACACACACACACACACACACACACACACACACACACCTTTCAGGGTCAATTCAGTTTCTTCAATCAGACCTCAGGATGTAGGAGACAGCTAGTAGCAGCATTATTGTGCCAGAAAAGCATAAGTTGATTTCTCACTTATATTTTTAAAAAAAACCCCAAAGGTTTTTAAAATAGATGTTTTTCGTTTAACTGTTTTCTGGGACAAATGGGGCCCTCTCCTTTCACTCCTCTACTTCCTAGAGAGGCTTACAGCCCATCATGGATATGTTGAAGGCTGCATTCCTATGCATCCTTGGGTCTAACCCCAATTGAACTCAATGGAACATACTGAATAAACACCGTAAAACAAGTACTACCAAGTTACTTCCTAACAGGTGTGCATATGATTGCAGCAGGCTTAATTTAGGTAATCCTTGCTTGCCTCTATAGATGCCTATTAATAAATTTAAGAAAAAATAATAAAATAGTAGGAACACATAATCCAGCCCTTATCATAGGGGGAATATTCATTATTTGTATCTTATGCCTCCCAGGTCTGATGTCAGTGGTATTTGCATATATAAAGTTGGCATAAAGCTTCTTACAAAATCTACCTGAGCAGTTTAAGCAACTTACAAACACCTAAGAGCTGCTGCAGGACAAACTGCTGCTGCTGCTAGCAAACCTCTTTCATCAGAGTAGTAGACATAGTGGCTTTCTTTAGCAACAGGTGAATTGTATCCCAGAAAATGAGAACTGACAGATTTGAACTCTAGTCTGCAGGTTATTGCTTCCAGATAAAACTGTGTATAGCCAAGGCAACACTAGGCCATACTCTGATAACTTGCAGTAAACTGTGGTGCGACCAACATAAAGTCATGAAAACCTGAAGGGGAAAGATTTGTCTAGGAATATTCTATACTCTCTGGCAAAGAGTAAAAAGAGCCTATGATGCTAGACAGAATGGAGTTACACATTCCGTATCAGATTAACTGCCAATGAAATTCATACTACTTGAGCGATATGCTAATCCCTTGAAAATGAAAAACATACACACTGACCACACAGAATAATTTTCTGAATTTTATTATGCGGTAAAACAAATACATTTGGCTATTAACGATACATTACTAATTATAATAAAAAGCAAGGGACTGGATGGGTGGTAGAACATCAAGCACTATATGGCCTTATTTCAGTTTGAATGTTTCTCTGTCAACTGTAAATATTTCTTCTTTGCTGTAAGGCACATGGTCTTATCTGAACCCTCTAGCTTGCAAGATGTATAAGGGAAGTCGTACTTAGGAACTGTAGGAAATGATATATCAGCATGTGGCTCCACTGGAATCACAAGGCTCCCACGTGAAACAGTTAAGTGTAAACAATGTTTAGAGAAATTGTGAGTTCCCAAAGGAAACTGTAAGTTCCATAAATAGGGAGGGTTATATAGATATATTGGGTTATATCCAACACTGCCGTTCTGCACATGCAACAGAGTTTTGTTTGTGCAATGGCATTTTCTCTCTCAGAGCACCCCCTGAACCTGCTGGGGGGGGGATGAGTAAAGGAGAGGAAGAGGAAGTCCCACTGTGCAAGTGGGCCACTGCTTGTGCAGTGTTTGATATAACCCACTTTATCGTGATGCCATAGATAAGACAAGAACAGCAACAAATAGCAGGTTGTGGGCTAGCTATATACTATCTACAGTGCTGAGTGAGAAAGCTGCAGTAGTCTATCAACATGTTTCTTATCAAGTATGTATTTCCTCCCATGTTGTAGAACAGATCAAGGAACAGATTGTATGGATGAGCCTACAGTTGTTCACAATGAAATATTAATATACCATGAGTACAAGTTTATAACATATTGCAAACATATGTTCCTAAGTAAAGTACCTGTGCCTCAGTTCAGACTTAACAGGAAACCATGGTTTTTCACTTTGAGAACAAGTTAAAGAATCTTAAGCTCACATGCTCCTTCCCATCCCTCCTCTTTCATGCAAGTCAAGGAGAAGAGCAAAAGCTTCCACAATTGAATTAAAAGAACAATAGTTCCTCATGATGCCAAAGTTTTTGAAACTGTGCTTTGTTTAAACTCTGAATAGTGAACAAGCAAAATTAGAACTGTGGTTCCTGATCTCATTTTATTAATCCAAGTTTGGACATCTCAAGAAACTGGTTAGTTTAAAATATAAAGGTCTCCTCTCCACAGGCATGAAAGTAGAGAAGGAAGGAGAGATTGCACAAACCTGAGGTTCATCTAGGGAAACCATGGCTTGCTGCTTGGTATGAACCAAGTGTCTCTTTCCCCCAGCAGAGGGTCTCTTTGTGTAGAGGGTGCACTTTTCAGTGGTAAAGCAGCCAGAGTGAACAGCATTAAGAATCACCTCTCCCCTGTTGCCTACTTCAAATTTCAGCCTCCGTAACTGCATTATGCAAAAGAAGAGAACATTGCATAAAAGAAAAATGAAACTACACATACAGCCACATGCAGAGATAGAAAGCAGGCACTGTTGTGCTTGGAAATACATACCAGGCCACCTATCATCATATCATACACAAAAACAGCAGATAAACGAGTCACATGCTTCCAGGGCCTCTTGTGGTGCAATTTCATGGGGAGGGTCAAGAAGTAAAAGGTACAGGAGATTCTGGATCTGGGAATTTCACCAGGATGTACTGCTGCAGGCAGTAGCGACTCGCATTTGACATGGCTTTTGTGGGCACTGTGACCTCGTAACTCAAAATGTTGGCAAGATTTTCCAAAGTTGGTCTACAAATAAAAGTGAGTCAGTGTCAATCTGTGCTTCTCTTACAAATTCTCCAAGCCTAACTGACTGCAAACTGGGAGGACTGGCACATGCAGCAAGGAAGGAAAACTGAAGGGCTAGAATAGCTGTTGTCAACAGGCAAGAGTCAAAACACCTACATTTGAAGATACTTTTTGGCTTCACAGTTATGAATGCTTCACATAAAATCAACAGTTTTGAAGTAGGCAATAAAACTAGGAAGGTAAGAGGCATAACAAGACAGCTGTTTATGAAGCAATATGGTAACTGAATCAGAGTAACGAACAACTAACAAAGTCTAAATTTCCCTTAACAAAAAACAAACAAACAAAGGCAAATTGGTAGTCCAAGTACACAGAAGAGGAATGACTCCAACCAGAGTAATTAATCACTGTAGTAAATGCTCAGGTAGGCCACTAGGTTCCGGTGCTTCCTAAACTCTTTGTCCGAAAGCAGCTAAAACAAATACAAATATAAAATATATTCAGTGTTGTTCAAAAACTCAATAAGCACAATAAAGAAGCAAATGTTTTAGTGCAGATTTCTATCTATAGCTCCATGTCCAGAAAACAAACCGTGTGAGACAAAGGAAGTCCACAGAAAGAAATGTATGTTATTGTCTTCTGAAAGATCTCTAAGTATATTCCTTCCCAGGTCCTTCCCAAGCAGTCTGAGACTCCAACACCTTGTCTCTGCTTTGCCCTCTTTATACCTCAGAGGGTTCTAGGAGACCAGGGGGCGGGGAGCTGGTCACAACAGGAGAGAGACCCCTTGGCTTCTTCAGCAGATTGCCTCATCTCTGCCTCTTGGCCCCCAGCCTCTCCAGCCTCCACTTCTGCCTCTGATTCTGGACTGCTGCCTGCCACAGCCTCTTCCTGCTCACTAAACCCTGTTACTTCATCAGCTTCTGGCACCTACTCCTCCCATTCTGCTCCCTCTTCTCCCTCTGACCACTCATTGTTGCCCCACCACCAATCCCCTGGTTCTGAGCCTTCACCCTTTAGGGGTTCTGTTGGGGGTTCCCCAGCTGGTGCCTCCCACCACTCTTCTGTACCCAGCCAGTTCGTGACAGATACAGCCCTGAAAAAAATGGCTCTCCCTTGCTGAAATCAAGCCTGTCTGAGATTCTAACATTCTTAATCCCCAAATAGTCACAATGATCATTTAGAAAACTGTATCTGAATTTCATACCTCACTTCTCAGCGTTCTTTTCGCTGGCATTGGTATTAAAGACCAGTCTGGAGCCCCAAACTTCCCTGGCCAGGTGACATGCCTGTGTGGCATGCCGTATGGGTCATATGTTCCAGGTCTAGAGAGAAAAGTCCTTGCATCATTTCTTCAATGAGCTAATATGGTCCATTATGCTGTGCACTTTACATTTTCCACATTAATACACTGATATAATGTCTTCATATATTGTGTTTTATTCCGTCATGGTTATACTAGACTGGTAAATTTAAGAGTTATTTTTTAAAGAAGACTGTAGCTACATCTCAACAGTGATTTGGGTAAATTGCAAAAAGCAACTAAGAATAGGCTTATTCCTGTAATTAGGGATAAGGGATCCCTGTAATCCCATATCTCAGGTTTGTTGTTGTTGTTTTAAAAAATGAAGTTTGGCTCTCAGTGCCCATAAAAAACCATGTAGGAAATAATGTCTCATGAAAATAATGTAAAATAGAGTCTGTACTAGCTGCAGCTTTTGTACCAGGGCGGTCCAACTTTCCATACCAAGTGGGCTGCTAGAGTACTTTTAAACAGAACCCATGGGCCACACACTGAATTAAATTTCTATATTGTAAATTAAAGTGTTCACAATATATTTAACATTATTTAATATACACAATTGATATATTTAATTAAATATATATAATTAAAGACAATATTTAAAGATTTAACATATTTATCTAAACAAATTCAGTACACAAACAAGTGTATGCACTTTTGTTTAACAACGCATGATGCGAAAAAAATAATTTTTAAAGGCTTTAAGATGGTTTTTCTTGACTGTTGCCAAGGTCTGCATGCA